CCGGCGGACCTACCGTAGCTGCCGCCTCACCTGCTGTGCGCTTCCCCACAGGCGTCCGCATCGGTAAAGCGGAGCGCCTGCTCTGAGCAGCGCTGCTCCGTCCTCGCCCTCGGTGCTCTGAGGAGTCTGTTCGCAGGCTTCATCGTGGAAACCGGGCCCAGCACTGTCACTGACCCGTCCTGCACCGCCATCTTCGCTGATCAGGGAACTGGCTTCGTTTTGTGACATTATTTTTTGTGTCTCCTTCTCAGCTCTTTTTTACAAAGGCAGAAAAAGCAAGTGTTTCCCTTATTCGACTTCATTGTCTTTCATTTTTATGAAAAAAATCTAAATCTCCAAAGGGACTTCTTTTCACTGAGTTCAGGGAAACTTTGCAGAGTTTCACAGAACTTAAAATATCAAAAGGTTATGGAGGCGGGTCTCCCTCTGGTGCCTCGGTTTGCAGTGTCTGCCTCGCGGCTCTGCACAGCACCGGTGGGACCTACAGGCAGGAAACGTGGCAGTGTGAAGCTCTTCACCACCCACTGTGATATAAACCCAGACTCCGGACTGTCTTGAGGATTGAAGTTTTTGCCGATGTCTCCATACTGCTTTCTGTACCCGCCCTGGGACAGAAGAGGAGCTGGTCCTGGGCCCGGGGCCTCAGCTCAGCCACTCTGCTGCCGGCAGGAGCTCGTGTCGGTCCTCAGTCTCTCTTTCCTGTGAAACCTGTATTGGGAAGATTCCTGGACTTTGGACAGAGGGTCCCCTGCCCCGTGCCCACTTCCGTTGGCTTCTCGCCTGGCAGAGGCTCCACATCTGACAGCCAGCAGCCCAACTTCCTCCGCACTGCCGCCAGCCAGTTCCCAGTAATTCCCCGTGCCTGTCTCCCTGGTCTGGGACAGCATCTCCTTCTGTTTTCTCATCCCTGACCGGGACAGCTTGTGTGGGCCACTTTAGGCAGTGCAGTAAACCTCTTTCTGCTTGGCTGTCTTGTTGCTCCTGAGGAGATGAAGGCTTCCCCTATAAGGAGGCTTGTCCTTTTCCTCCATTTGTATTTATCTAGCTTGCAGATCATTTGTTTACATCCACTTGGGTCAGGGAATTGAGCGCTGACGTCCAAGAGCAGGAGAAGTGTGGGCCCTGCTGCAGGAGAGGGTAGGTGGCCTTTTTGTTCTGTCCCAGCCAGCGGCTGACTGGGTGGTGCTCCCCAGGTTGGGGCCAGACCCTCCCACCTGTGTACCCACGCAGTTTCCAGTCTCCTGTGGAAACCACACACACAGAAGGGGCCTCACCAGGGCCCCCGGGAACCCTTAGTCCACTCAGCCTGGCCCTGAGTCTAACCGTCACCTGCCGGTCAGTGCATCCGTCCCGACCTCTGCCACAGCTCGGCAAGGTAGGGGCTCTCCTTTCTGCATGACAGCCCATCACCAGGGCACCCGGGAAGTCACTGCAGGTCACGGCTGACAGGAGTTGGGATGGGTCTGCTGCGTTGGGCCTTCACTCGTCCTTCCTGCCATGAATCGAATCCTCAAGATGACGAGGAAGAAAGGCTTGTTATGGTACTGTTCGATGTGTGCATACAGCGGGAACTTAAACGCCTTTGAAAAATGACACGCTGCAGGGCTTTTGTAGTGGATTTACTATGGACAGACAGACGTGCGCGTTGTGAGAGCGTCTTTGTGATCTCTGCTCCTGAACAAAGGGCAGCTATTGAATGCTGTCTGCCTGGCACTTAGCATTCGGAAAGAGCACTGGGGCTCCTTGCTGGCCTAGAATCACACATCCCAGTGCTTCCAGACACGTAAATAAATGACACTTGTGCAGCATTTTCTGGGAGAGTTAACTGCAAGACTCCAGGGCCCAGCACCTGCTCCCATTGTTATAGTAGGAGTGCATGCAGTGAGGATCAGAAACCCCAGTTTTCAGTGGCTCCCAATAAAGTGCCAGGCTTGAACATCTCACCTGAACATTCAGGCGTAGGCGGCCATGAGCATCGGCTTGTAAGTTTCCGACATCTGTCCTCCCCCCATTGTGGTCACAGAATGGCTGTCATGGTTCCAGCCATTGCCTCTCTGTTCATAACAGGTGGGTAGAGTGAGAGGGGGATGTCAGCAGCTACATCAGAACCTTTTTACTGGAACATCATACTTTGCTGTGACTTTTGGGGGCAGTTTTGCATCAAATGGCCATGCCTAGCTGCAAGGGAATCTGGGAAATGAAAGGTTAGGATTGTGATCATTGACTCACTCTGTTCATTCACGGGGCCAGAATGCAGTGCAGCCGCAGACCAAACTGCTCTGCTACAGCTGAGGAATGGGAGGGAGGGAGGTGGGCTGCCGGGCAGCTGTGTACCCAGCGCTCAGGACAGCTTTACAGACAAGGTGTGGTCGGGCTGGCCTGTGTGGCGAGCAGCAGGAACCTGGTGCAGAAGGAGGGTGGGGCAGGCGTATGTGGAAGCAGAGTCGGAACAGACGGGCCGAGACACCCAGGCGTCGAGCTGGGGCTGGAGATGGGCTGCTCACAGCAGACTTGGCCGCAGGCTAAAGAGCACTGGTGCTGGTCTGCAGGGCACCACGGGTCTTGGGTGGACGCCGGCTGTCCGGCTGCCTCCTGTCACCGGGCAGAGATGGGAGCTGGGCTGCCCGCTGGGTGGAACACCTGGGCCCTGCCTGCTCAGACTGACCACTGGCGCTGCGGCCGCTCTATCCTGCTCCCGTTACCTCCCTTCCCAGGGCCCGAGTCTCCCGCTCCCAGCGAGTGACAGACCTGCTCTCTCCCCGTCATTGACTGCCTCCCTTGCTGCAGGCTGCCTCGGCCTCCGGGGGCCTCACACGCAGGGCCCTGGTGCTGGGCAGTGGGCAGCCTCCCTGCCTTCTTTATTTTTTTTTTTTTTTTTTTTTTATTTTTTGGTTTCTTGAGTCAGGGTCTCACTATGTAGTGGAGACTGACCTGGAACTCACAATGTAGCCCAGGCTGGTCTCGAACTCACAGCGATCCTCCTGCCTCAGCCTGGGATTACAGGTGTGCGCCACCACGCCCAGCTGTCCCTGCCTTCTTGCTGCTGTGTGTCTATGCCAGGGTGGGGAGGGCTCTGTCACCTCCTGTAGGGTTCATATGCGTTTCGGTGCAGGGTGTCTTTTCTCGGTTGCTAACACAGGAGGGTGGGCGGCTCCCCAGTTCCCCATCAATTGGGTTGAAAGCTTACCCCCCACTCTGCCATGTGGCTGGGAGTCTGCCAGGCCTTCCTCATCCGGATGGTGTCCCGTGGAGAGACCTGGTCTCCTCAACGTTTCTGAAGAGCAGATGAGGTCAAAGCTGCACTTGCACCCACCCGTGAGCCCTGAGGGAACCTTAAATCCGAGCTGCTGTGCTGGATCCCTACCGGCCCTGCTCACCAGCAAGCACAGAGACCAGTCCTGGGCAGGTTCCTGGCGCCTGCGGCCCAGTGTGAGAGCACGTTGGCAAAGTTCTGCCTCCTGTTCCCTCGGGGGTCAGGCAGACATTTCTCACCAGGCCACAGCAGGGATGCAGGGCATTCGCAGTTTGGACCCTGAGCCAGCGTCTCCGAGTCACAAGTGGGTTAGGGCAAGGAGGAGAGGTCAGGGAGGCAGGAGAGCTGGGTGACTCTGGGAGCTTCGCTGCACTGCTCGGGCCCTGGGTTTTGGCTCTTTTGCGGCTCCCCCAGGAGCAGGTGCTAAGAGCTTCTGTACAAGTGTGCAGCCGGTTCTCAAGGCAGAATGGCTGCTTCTGCAGTGCTCCTCTTCTGAGCCGAAAGTTCCCCCAAGGACCCACGGATCCGTTCCTTGCTGTGTCAGGCCCAGGTCGGTGCCCGGCGCTGGTCAGGGCTCACTGTGCACACCTGTTGAGTGGACGGAGCTGTGGCAGTGGGGGTGTGCAGAGCAGGACCGACTTGGGCCGGGCTGGGCTTGACCAGGACCAGCTCGGGGTCTGCTGGCCTGCGCCTGGGTCCCTCGCCGCCGGAGAGGGCTGAACGTGGGGAAACCTCACCGAGCTGTTTGGGGATCGATGTGGCGGGGTGCGTGACTTGCGTGCGTGTTTGTACGTGTGTGTGTGGGTGTGCAAACTGTGGTAAGAGCCCGGGCCGGAGCAGAGCTCAGGACACACAGGGAGCTACAGGGGCGCGGGGGAGGCGAGGACCCAGCGTGGGTCCCGGCCGGACTCAGGGAAGCAGCTGTGGGTGCGGGAAGGGGACAGTGGGACGTGGACGTGGCTGCTGCGAGGGGAGGTGGCACCACGGGGCAGAGGCGGTAGGGAGAAGACACTTATGTGCCCTCCCCGGCGTGGCACCGACGGGGAGACGAGGCGCGGGCTTGTCCGTGTCGGTGACTGCGTGGCCCGCGTACGTGCGGCGTGCCCCTAACCCCCGGCCCTCGCCCAGGTCATCCACTGGAACTCGCCCAAGAAGCTGCGGG